ACTCATGACCCCTCGATCAGCCAGGAGCCCCAAGATTATTTCTTTTCATTGTCCAAAGAAGCATGCTAAAAATATGCTATTAGAGTTTATTAAAGGCACACTTAAAAAGGGGGGGGGAGATTAAATAAAATTGGACTAATAATTTTAAAGATTTTACTTATTTATTTGACAGAAATCACAAGTAGGCAGAGAGGTGGCAGAGAGAGAGGGGGAAGCAGGCTCCCTGCTGAGCAGAGACCTATGCTGGCCTAGATCCCAGGACCCGGGGGGTTAATCACCTGAGCCAAAGGCAGAGGCTTTCACCCACTGAGCCACCCAGGTGCCCCTGGACTGATAATTTCAAACCATTTGGTTCCAATATTTTTCTTATGCCCCTTCATTTGCTAAAAGGGATCTTATTGAGTAAACAATATTCTAAACATGGATACAGTAAAAAATACCCTAGTCATTGTGTTTGTTTACATTTGTTGTGCATTTCTAGCCACTTGTTACAAAGTTTCTGGACTCGAATACAAATGCTGATATAATTTTGGAGAACAATTTTATCCAATCATCTTCTACCCACTAGAACATTCTAGAGAAAAAAAGAAGACCATGAAGGGGTCCAGAATATGCCACTGTGGCATAAAAATTATTTTAGCAGAAGGCATGTGACTTTCTGAAATCTTTTATCAGTCTAAAAGCAGAGCCTCCCAAAAGAACTCAAACCCAAATTGTCACAGAACAATGAGGTTAGATTGAGTCTCATCACCAGAGACATTGAGAAGTAGTCAACACACCAAAACAGACATTGTCACAAAACTACCGTCTCTCCCGTCTGTACTCGTATGGGCCCATGAATCTTCCCCAAAACTCATTTGTTCTCCCACAAATGCCCTCTTTGCTCCTCCCCTTCCCTTATTACGAAGTCTTTTGTTTTCCAGTAAGTGCCCTTCCTCCATTTGGATGGTATAGGACAAACCTCAAATTCTAACTGCCCCTTTGATGCACATTTTCTGTGAAGTTCTGTACATACATTAATAAAAACATGTGATTAATTTTGGGGTTTTTTTTCTTGCCCATCTGTCTTTTGTCAGTTTAGTTCAAAGACTCCCAACAACTGAATCTAAGAGAGTAGAAGAAAAGTTTTTTTTTCTCCCCGACAACCTTATGATCTAGCATTTCCAATATTTCTTTGCAAATGCTGAATTTTAAAACTTCCTGTGTGCCCTACCATAAGGGAAAGCGTGATGTATGGATTCATTAGTAGGACTATATATGGAAGCTGCAGCAACGTAATTAATGTCCTGTATGTCCCTGGGCACCCGCCCACCCTGTAATTTAGAAATCAGATTGGCATCAGACAGAGCAGCAATAACTCAAGTCACCCCAAAGAGACTTCCATGATGTAAAACGATTCCATGAGGTAAAGCTAGACCACAGCCATACTGAATATGTAAATATTCCTATAGACTCAGAAGAAAGTGAATAGGGTTGTTGATCAACCCTGAAAGGATTAAAAGAAAGGAGCCCAGGGAACAACCTTGGGGGGCAATTCCAGCATTATCCAGAGTCCTGAAAGTCACTCATTTTTTTTTGTTCCAACAGAGTAGGCACTTAATAAGTGGAAGGAAGAAAGGAGTGAGTTTCCTCCTTGTTCCAGAGGAGGTCCTGGGATCCTCCTCTGGGGGGAGGTTCCTACATGCAACCTCCCGATTGTAATATGGATTCCCCCTAAAAAGTGTTGGCAAGGAGTCTCTTTTCCTCCTGACATTTAGTATTTCTTCTTATATATCAACAAAGGAGCAAACTTGAGGGGGGTGCAAGGTTCAGTGGGCAGAAGCCGGTTTCTCAGCATTTCAAGCAATTTGTGGACCAGTAATGGAAACCAGGCTCTGGGGGCACTTAGGTGTGAGGAAGCAGCCAGCAGCCCAAAAGACAACACCTCTCAGCCGTCCACCCACAGCACTTGCTGGGTAAGCAGTTTCCCTTGGTCTCCTCAGCCCTCCATCCTTTCATTCAACAATATTAACTAAATGTCCACAAGGGCCAAACATTGAACTGTGTGTAGGCCCATGAAACAGACAAAACAGGTTCTCGGCCTCCTGAAGACTGAGCCCTCCCGAGGTCCGCTTCACTGGGTGTACAGCTTAGCAAACAGGCCCATGTAATACTGTGGGGGTGAGATCTGTGGGAGAGGGACAGAGGAGCGCCAGATGCAGTGGGCGGGGGAGGGGTCTTCTAAATTGAAACCCGAAGGAGAAGCAGGAGCCAATTTTGTGGATGGGAAGTGGTCCAGGTGGAGGGTAAGCAGAGGCAGACTTCTGGAGGTAAGAACAACATTTAGGAACTGTTAGCTAGTCTAGAAGCCAGAGTTTAGGAAAGGCACTGGGGAAGAGCAGAGGACTGTGGGGTTGGGGAGGGACAAGGCCAATTTTGAAGTCTGAGGGGCTGTCATAAATCAGATATTCTGAATTTTATCCTCAGGGCAATTGGGGCAAGGGGTAGGTACCGAGGTGTGTTAGCCCAGAGAAACCAGATGAAGTCTTCTTAAAAATTTCACCAGCCACAGCAAGAAGAAAGGAAGAGGCAGGAGGGAGACAGAAAGCAGGGAGTCTCTTTAACAACTTAGGCAGCTGGCATAATAACTTACCTTTAATTCATAATTTCTTCCCCTCTTTTGCTATTCATTTGATTCATAAAATGTTTTCAAGGTCATTTCATTTTCTTCTGACTTTTAAAGATAATTTTAACCTAAATATATTTTCATTTGTTGGCAACTATCTTTTGTCCATTTCGGAGTAAATGCTTCTCTTAATAAGTAAATTTTGAATCTTAGTCAAAACGCATACCCCTCTGTAATTTTTTTTTTAAGTTTGTTGTTGTTGTTAATCTCTCCATCCAATGTGGGATTTGAATTCACAACCCCAAGATCAAGAGTGCCATGTTCTACTGACTGAGCCAGCTAGGCACACCCTCCCTCTAGTTTCTTAATGATTTTTAAAATTTTATTTGTATTTTATCTCTAGTCTTACACTGAGATCTCCAAAACTCTCTAAAATTGGGGGAGGAAGTGCCCAGAGGGGCTAATCCCCCAGGAGGGAGGGGAGGGTCTTGGGTAGCACATTTAAATGCCTGATGTCCCCACCTGGAGTTCTTCAGAGATGCAAACAGCCCACTGGAGGAATCAACACCCACAAAATTCTGGGCTTGCACGTTCAGGCTCCCTGGGGGGGTCAAGGCCCACCCCAAGAAAGCTGGAGGCGGAAGTGTGATGTAAATTTTTTTATTCTCAGAGTGGAAGCCCGAAGGCAGAGCCCCACAGGCATTCTGTTTACCGTTTCAACGGAAATCAGGAATTACAGACCAGAGTCAAGTTAAGTCACCTTTGTACTTCCCTGTGAATTTTCCTATGAATTGTGCCCAGTCTGTTTCCCTGCGCTGATTAGCTGTAAAGCTCATTAAAAAAAAAAAAAAAATCCAGCTTGGGCTGGTCAGGACTGCCAGGTTGGGGGAGTGTATTCTGCCCAGCAGAGGCCTGGGGGGAGAGGCCCTCTGGCCAGAGTGGAGGGTGCAGAGAGCAGGCTGGGAAGAAAGGAGTCTGGTTGCGGAGGAGGGAGGCCCCGGGGCTCAGAGTGGAAAGCCCTTAGAAAGTTGCTTCTACTACCACTTAAGGAGCTCCTGAAGGAGCACGGGCAGGGTCCTTAGAAAGACAGTGGACAAGTCCTCTGGAAGAGGGTTGTGAGGACCAGATGAGTATAAAGGGTTCTCCACATCCACAGAGCATTAGGTATCAGAAGTTCTGCTGTCTTTAGAATCCGTGGATAATAGTAGCAATAATTACCATTAACTGAGCACAGGAATAGTGCTTAGAAAAGCGAACACTCCATATATGTCAGGCACTGTGTCCGGTTTTCCACACACACGCGAACACGCACGCACACACACACATACAAGCACACACACACACAAAGTGCACGCGCACACACACACACACACACAAGCACACATATACATGATACAAACACATCTCACTCACTGGCTTTTCAAAGAAGTCTGACCAGGTCAGTTCCATTATTTCTATTTTCTGTTGGAGGAAATGATCTCCAAGAGGTTATATAAGCAGCAAAATATAATTTGCAGGTGAGTACTTTGGACATTCTCTGAAGATCCCACTTCCTCTTAAACTTAAGCTACTCTAATAAACCTGGATATTTGAGGCAGTATTTTTATTCTTCTCTAGTGTTATAAACTCTGGAGCCAGACTGGGTTTGAATCCCAAACTCTCTTTGGCCAAATGGTCACAGAATAGGCATAAAAATAGTGCCTGCCCCACAGAATGCGTATGAGGCTGTATTAGCTAATATGCAAAGTCCTGGGCATGGTGCCTAGAACACAGTAAGTGCTCAATAAAAGTTGGCCACTACTAAAGACCTACATTAGATCACAAGTAACAAGGTAAGAGTGGAAGGACTATTACGTACAGCAATGGAAACTGAAAGCTAATAACCTTCACAGCAAAAGGGAAATGTGGAAAACACCCAAGCACGTAAGTGGAAATGTATTTGATGGGAGAAGAGCATAATAACAACAATATGTTATATACGTAACATAAGTATGTATATAACATATGACCCTCCGGTCCCCAGATAACATCACACACTCATAATAACCAGGTTAGGGTGAAGGAATGGACCTGGGATAATGTCTATAACATTTTTTTTAAAAATCTGTGACATGTAAGACAATTACCAAACTGAAGAATGAAGATGTCTTTCACATTTCTTCAATAAAGCATCATCATAGGTTAGCAAAATTCTTTTGTTGTTGTTGTTAAGATTTTATTGATTTATTTGGCAGAGAGAGACACAGCGAGAGAGGGAACACAAGCAGGGGGAGTGGAAGAGGGGGAAGCAGGCTTCCCATTGAGCAGGGAGCCCAATGTAGGGCTTGATCCCTGGACCCTGGGACCATGACCTGAGCCACTTAACAACTGAGCCATCCAGGTGCTCCCCCCCCCCTTTTTTTTTTTGACAGGAAGTCGGATTTATTGGTGGGCATGAATATGACAGGATGGGATAGTGCCCAGGTTCTCATGAGTGCAGAGCCCTCCATTTGTCCAAGGGGCCATGGTTAGGGATGTATTTTACCCCATAGCCAGCTGGGATAAGTCGCTTTTTAGCCACCATGTCTTCAAATTCATCTGCACTGAACTTAGTAAAGCCCCACTTCTTGGAGATGTGGATCTTCTGGCAGCCAGGGAACTTGAACTTGGCCCTCCATAGGGCCTCGATCACAGGCTCCTTGTTCTGCAGCTTGGTACGGATGGACATGATGACTTGGCGAATGTGGACCCTGGCTACTGTGCCCTGGGGCTTTCCAAAGGCACCCCACATACCTGTCTGCAGCCTAAACTGGAGATGGCCATGAGGTCAGACCTCAGCATCCACTGAAAGGGGTCTCCAAGGTCCCTTACGGAAACCCATACAATTGACAGGCTGCATACAGCACCGAGGAGGCTACTGTTTGCGGCCATGGCACATTGGGCCCCCACAGACAAAGAGCCACAGTCGGCTTAATTCCCTGCAGATATATATATATATATTTTTTTTTTTAATGAAGATTTTATTTAGGGGCGTCAGCGTGGTTCAGTAGGTTGGGTGTTGGCCTTGGGCTCCGGTCATGATCCTGGGGTCATCGGATTGAGCCCTGCGTCGGGCTGCCAGCTCAGCAGAAAGCCTGCCTCTCCCTCTCCCTCTGCCCCTCTCCCTTCTGTGTTCCCTCTCTCGCTGTCTCTGTCAAATAAATAAACTCTTAAAAAAAAAAAAAACTAAAAAAAAAAAAAAGATTTTATTTCCTTACTTGAGAGAGAGAGAGAGAGTACAAGTGGGGAGGAGGATCAGAAGCAGGCTCCCCACTGAGCAGGGAGCCTAACTTGGGCCTTGATCCCAGGACCTTGATCCCAGGATCATGACCTGAGCCAAAGGCAGCCACTTAACTGGCTGAGTTCCCCAGGCACCCCTAGGTTAGCTTAATTCTAATCCTATAGTCTAACAAATCAATTTAGGAAAATGTTGGATTGGGCCTTCCTTAGTCTTGTCAGATATTAATTTCATAAAATTAAAATAAATTTGTTTTTTTCAGGCTTATTGGCATTTGTTTCAAGTGGAATTGGATTTAATGAAAGTAGACTCTAATATTAAATACTGAAGTGTGAATAAGTCTTGAGAATAAAAATGTAGAGAATTAGCTATTACTATTACTATGGATAGATGCTTTTTGGCCAATGTGTATCTAAAACAGAAATTATTTCATAATAAAGGTAAATGTGTATGTAACACAAACGGACCCTCTATTATTGAGTATGGGCATCGAGAGAATTAAGTTAGGACCATGCTGTGTGCTGAAATGCTGCCCCTTGCTGTGGGGGGAACAGGTGCTGTTTGAATGGAAATATAATTTTTTTTTCTAAATTAAGCTCCAGGCCCAATGTGGAGCTTGAACTCACGACCCTGACAACGAGTTGCATGCTCTCTTGACTAAGCCAGCCAGATACCTCTGAAGGGAAGTATCCTTGATTTTAAACCAAAAACTATGCTCTGTGAGGGTGGGTTTCAGGAAGGTTGTCAGGACCTCTCCTCTGCCCTGACTCTTGGCCGGGTATTGAGGAATCTAGATGACTACCCCTCTCTCACTAGACTTGGCTCTGAGAAGGGTCTTGCATTTTCTTCTGCCCCAGCTCCTAGCACCAAGCCCAATAAATGATTGCTGGATGTTGGGAGTAAGGAGGGCCCCATCTGCATCAACAGTCCACGAGCCAGGAATTCAGGACCCCCCGTGAACTGCAGGCAGAGGATCAACAAACTTTCCTAATAACCAGTTTACTGGTTGACATCACTCTTACTCTCTGTATGTTTCACTGTGGCATCTCCTAGCAAATAGCTTTAGTTAGGCTAAGCTGTGTACCGGATTCACAGCCACTGGTCCCCAGCCTTGGAGGGGAAACAGTGCCTCTTAGAGGCCAACATGCCAGTGGCAGCAGTAATGTGTTAGGGACCTGAAAAGATACACCCTGGGGAATAGATGTAATGGTCCAGGTGATCATCTCCGCTGGGATCGTCTTTAAGCTTAAAGTCTGGAAGGCTTGGGTCGCGTGGGTGGCTCAGTGGGTTAAAGCCTCTGCCTTCGGTTCAGGTCATGATCCCAGGGTCCTGGGATCGGAGCCCCGCATTGGGCTCTCTGCTTAACAGGGAGCCTGCTTCTCCCTCTGCCTGGCTCTCTGACTACTTGTGATCTCTGTCTGTCAAATAAATAAATAAAATCTTAAACAAAACAAAACAAAAAAAAAAAAACCTTTAAAGTTTGGAAGGCTTATTTTTATTTAAAATTGTCTTTAAAATTTTATTTAAGATTTATTTAAGACAGAGAGAGAGAGGATGCCTGAGCGGGGGAAGGGGCAGAGAGAGATTCCCCGCTGAGCACAGAGCACAGAACACAGAGCCCTACACAGGACTTGATCTTTGGACCTGGAGATCATGACTGAGATCATGACCCGAGCCAAAGGCAGATGCTTAACTGACTGAGCTACCCAAGTGCCCCTCCATTAACTGTCTTAATAATGCTACTTACTCCCATTAAAATTTTTTTTTAACAGAATCACGTATTCCAAAGGTTGCTAGCCTGTTAATTATGATTCCCTTCAACAGTAACTTGGATCTAACGTCTGAATATTTGTGGGCGTCTAAGTGGCTCAGTCGGTTAAGTGTCTGCCTTCCACTCAGGTCATGATCCCAGAGTCCTGGGATCAAGTCCCACATGGGGCTCCCTGCTCCGTGGGGAGACAGCTTCTCCCTCTACCTTTCACCCCTGCTCACGATCTTTCTCTTTCCCACACTCTCAAATGAATAAAATCTTTTTTAAAAAGTCTGAATATTTGTGTCACCACCCTCCAACCCCCCCAAATCATATGCTGAAATCCTAACCCCCAATGTGATACTATAGATGACGCCTTTAAGACGTTATTAGGCCATGAGGGCTCTAAATGGGATTTGTGTCCTTACAAAGGCAACCCAAGAAAGCACTTTTGTTCCTTCTGCCATGTGAGGACACAGCAAGAAGCCAGCCCTCTGTGAACCAGGAAGTGGGTCCTTACCAGAGAGGAATCTGCCAGCACCTTGATCTTGGACTTCCCAGCCTCCGGGACTGTAAGAAATAAATTGTTTGTTGGTTTTAAGCCACCCAGCCTCTGGCATTCTGTTATAGCCACTCAAATGGAGTAAGACACTTGGGTAATAGTAAACCAGCTCTGCTCACCCTTGGCTTCGATTTTATGACAGGCTATAAGCTAGAGTCGGCCAGCTCAGTCTCACGGCAGCGAGAAAGCTTCTTGATCATCCCACCACACACCAGGTACTGTGCCAGGTGCTAAGCACCGAGCTATTCTGAACACTAACAATAGCTTATATAAATGGCAAAGTGTAGTGTCCGTTCTTCTGGATTTGGAGGACGGCTCCACACGAGAGAGAGAGAGAGCGCAAATTCCCTTTATCTCCACGTGTTCTAGGAAGAACACTGCTTTGTCACAGACTGGAAACAACTGGGCAACAATGTTACTGGGTGGACTTTGTAACCCACTGGTTAGTATTCCCCCTTCCTGCAAATGATCTACTTCCCCAGGCGCCTGGGTGGATCGGTCGTTTAAGTGTCTGCCTTCGGCTCAGGTCATGATCCCAGGGACCTGGAATCGAGTCCTGCATCCGGCTCCCTGCTCAGAGGAGAGTCTGCTTCTCCCCCACTGCCTCTGTGCTCTCTCTCCCGTTCTCTCTCTCGCTCTCAAGTCAATAAAAATCTTAAAAAAAAAAAACAAAAAACAAAAAACAATCTATTACCCCAAAATAAGAGAGCTTAGCCTGGGGAAGTAAGTAGCAGGGTTAATTTATGGCAGTTGTCAGGAATGGCTGATGAAACGATTAGACTGGTGTGGGTAAGCAGGAGAAGGCACAGGCTCTGCAGTCAGGAACCTCGGATCAAAGCCCGGCCATTGAGTTTTGTGATCTTCAGCAAATGACTTTACCTCCCTCCTTCGAGTTTCCTCTCGCAAAAAGGGGATGAGAATAGCGATATTAAGGGGCACCTGGGTGGCTCAGTGGGTTGGGCCTCTGCCTTTGGCTCAGATCACAACATCAGGGTCCTGGGATCGAGCCCTGCATTGGGTTACCTGCTCTGCAGGAAGCCTACTTCCCCCCTCTCCCACTCCTACTGCTTGTGTTCCCTCTCCTGCTGTCTCTGCCAAATAAATAAAATCTTAAAAAAAAAAAGTATCAGAAAAAAGAGTTAACGGAGACAATATACACAGTGCTTAGCACAAGGACTTGTTGGTAGTAAGTGCTGGTGTTAGGAGGTAAGACCAACTATACTACCCTCAGGTAAAATCGAAGCTCGGTGAGTCTTCACAAGATACACAGAATCTTTCTCCTCCCACCCCACGTGCACTCTGTAAGCCCAGGTAATGGAGAACACAGGTAATAATGAAACACTGATTAAGGACAGGTCCTACCTGGGCCACAAGAAACACCTGACGCAAGCTGAGCCACTCAGACTTCCAGAGTCTTAATGAGTCAGCTACAAGGAGCGGGGCCCTGAGGTTCTGTTGAGTCTGGGCCAAGGCTGGGGCAGCAGCGAGCTAATGCCACTTGCAAGCTGAACATAACGGCAGCAGAGGGGCCATGAGTCAGCAGAGAAAGCATGGAGGAGGAAAGATGCAAGACAGTGGATCGGACTCATGGAAAAAAAGCCCAGAAAAGAGAATATGAAAGACAGACCTGGACTGCAACACACACACACACAGAGTAGTACCCTTTCAGAGAACTGACTCCCCAGTTCTCATGAGGCTGGGCTGTACTTCTTGAGTATTTCCTTTAAGACTCCTCTATGTCCTGGGGCACCTGGGTGGCTCAGTATCGGCTGCCACTGGCTCAGGTCATGATCCCAGGGTCCTGGGCTCAAGCCCCGCACTGGACTCCCTGCTCCACTGGGAAGCCTGCTTCCCCCTCTCCCCCTCCCCCTGCTTGTGCTCCCTCTCTTGCTGGCTCTCTGTCAAATAAATAAATATAATCTTAAAAAAAAAAAGTTAAAAAAAATCCCCTCTGTCCTTACAGTAGACCTTTCTTTGACCTGAATTCTTTTTTATTGTTGTTGCTCCTTAAACAGGAGGGGCCGTGGACTGTCCTAGAACTCAACCTTTACAACCTTGCATTGTGCAATTTCAGAAAAAGAGGAACAGCGGGGTCGCTGTGGATGAAGGGAAGGCTGAACCAGAGGGAGGATGTGGAGACGCGAGTGTAACTGACAGAATACTGACACCTGCAGAGCTCAAATTTCCTTAGTGAACTTTCACTTAAATATGCGAGCAAGAGGCAAGCTACTGAATAGGCAGAGGTCTGGCATTTGTAC